TAGAAAGTGACTTCTAGAACAGTGTGTTGGTGTGGGAATTCATGTTTTCCATATGTGTGCCGCAGACCCACTGCACCTGTGTCCTTTGTCCCCGCAGGAGGATGCATGCACATGAAGTGTCCTCAGCCCCAGTGCCGGCTCGAGTGGTGCTGGAACTGCGGCTGCGAGTGGAACCGCACCTGCATGGGGGACCACTGGTTCGACGTGTAGCGAATGCCGGCCGCGCCGGCCCAGGCGGAAACAGCACAGCATCCTGCCTTCGTTTGCTGCTTCCTTTCCAAATACGCACACACACGCACTTCACATTTCCTTTCCAGAATCACAAAAGCAAATTAACAGAAGCTCCTGTATCCTTTTCACTGTGTTGGTGAAAAACAGCAGAGCCGACCGTGACACCAGCAAGAGGTCTTTTCAGGCCTCAGGAGCTAATAACAGCAGAGCACAGATCAAGGTGCCATGCATGTGTCTTGCGTGCACCGTCCTTCTCGCGTGAATTCAAGTCGGGCTGGGTCAGTGTGTGGAGACAGATTGCTCAGGTTTAACTTCCTGCATTTTACCTTCAGTAAGTGCTGTGAGGAAACCATCAGCAAGGTGGGAAACAGTTTCAGGGGACTGTTGTCAGTGTCTGTCTGCAGGATTCTGCGGTGCATTCTCAAAACCATATTCATGGCTTTAAGAGCAATGTTCTTATTTAAATTTTCAGAGAGCATCTGTTCCCAAAGAGCCCCAGGCAATAGTCAAAAATATTTGTTTATCCTCAAGAATTCTATCTTTATAAATTACATTGGTGAAATGTCAACTATGCATAAATCAGTTTGTCAACTAAGTGAGAAATTATGAAAGTTAATTTGAACATTGGAGGTTTGAATTACAGGGAAGAAATTAAAACTTAATGCACTCTGATTCCATTTAATTATTTGCAACTTTAAGAAGAAATAGTTTTTCTCAAAATGTTACAAAATCTATAATTTGATTTTCAGTATTCATTTTGCAGCTAACACATTTGACTCCACTATAAATTTAATGGATAAAGGGCCTATAAAGGAGAAATATTTGGAAAAGATTTCATAATGGTATTCCTTCTTAAGAAAAGTGCACATTATTAAATCAGAAGCTTGAAAGAGGAGCATTTGCAAGACCATCAGGACGAAAACATACCTGACTGCCTCCGTAAGCAGGGCGACGCTCCCTCTGCCTACCTGCTCTGGCCCCTGGCCTGCGGGCCCAAGAGCCTTGCACACCCCGTGGGCTCCTCCCAGGAGAGTTCTTTTCTTCGGCCAGTAAACTCACTGGAATATTCCTCATGTTAACATGGATTGAATTTGAGTGCTGATCAAATTTTCAACTTTTTTTCTGAGATATTCACAACTCATCAAAAAGATTAACACTAGGTATGGCAAACCACATTTTTCCTCCCGCACGGCGTGCAGATAGTCGAGAAAGTACAACCACTGTCTTTTGTTCTCGTGAACTGTGGACTTCTCAGGGAGATCGTGAACATGACTGAGGGCATAAGGAGTCCCACTGACGCATGGAGTCCCTTTGGGTTTAGAGTCTCCGGAAATTCTGAAATCAGTAGCAGGGCTTCTCTTTTCAGATGTAGCACCTGAAGTCCTTGCTGGCAGGAAGAGAGGGGATGAACTCAGAAATTTTCCAGGTCACATCCCAAAGACATCTGTCCATCTTTACCTAGCTGCTTCAGATGTCCATTCCTTCCAGCCACGGGGCACAGTCCCTTCCCCTCAGAGGCACTGCCCCGGGCAGGGGGGCGGCCACATCAGCACTCACAGCCTCCCAGGCTCCTGTTAGGAAACGCACCTACGCCAGCACGGCCCGCACTGCCAGGCCTGTGTCTTGGAGCCCAGAGATCCCGTGGAAATGATGGGATGTCTGTTTATTGTGAGAAAAAGGAAGGTCACCGGCGTGAGCCCATGAATCCCAACGGCTCCTGTCCACAGTCTGGACCCCAGTCAGGGCCTGACACGGCGTCACCAACAATCCCAGTCAACTGCGTCTCCTTACACTGACCCAATGTGACAATCACATGGCTCCCTCTGTCCTGTGGAACACGCAGCACTTTTTATCATCCGTAGCTTATTTTTAATGATGTTTTCATTATTGTTTCTTCCAAATCTGCACGGTGTTCTGGGTTTGCGATGCCTGAGCGAGGTTTGTTCCCGTGAGTTTCGGGAGCTGTTTAGCTGTCCAGCGTGGTCTGTTTTCCTTTCTTGGTGGTGGTTTCTTTCTTTCTCTCTTTCTCTTTTTCTTTCTTTCTTTCTTTTCTTTTTCTTTCTTTTTCTTTCTCTCTTTTTCTTTCTGTCTTTTTCTTTCTTTTTTCTTCCTTCCTTCCTTTCTTTCTTTCTTTCTTTCTTTCTTTTTCTTTTTTTCTTTCTTTCTTCTTTCTCTCTTTCTCTCTCTCTCCCCCCTTTCTCTCTCTCTTTCTGTCTTTCTTTCTCTCAGAAGAGAACAGTGATTCTTAAAATAAGTTAAAGAAAAACAGCCACTCTGCATGAACATGAATCACAAACTATTGTTTGACCATGAACGGTGTAACCAAATATGAATACATCAAAAGAATAAAAGTAAATCCTTTTCAGAAGAATCTTTATTTTTCTCTGACATGTGTTAAGAAATATCTATTATGTCTAGGGTTGTACTCGAATTGTCAATAAAGGCATCAGAAGAGCTTTTGAGTCTGTGTCTGAAGGTATGTTTTCAGTACCGACGTGGAGGATGTGGGAGAGAAACAGCAGCTGCTCCTCCTCGGGGCGCACTCGTGGCGCGGGAGGGCTGCCTGGTGGCGAAATGGCCGTTTGTGTCACTGTTCCGAGCTCTGGGCCAACCCAAGCTGATTCTCTTTTTAAAATTAGAGTAGTTCCTTAAGTGCTATCAGAATTTGAAAGGGCCCCAAAAAGCAAACTCTCATTCAAAAATCTAACGGCCACTTTCTTGCCTTCCTAGCAAATTTTTCTGAAAGAGAAGTTTGGGTTAGGAAAGTCCTTTCATCAGGATCTCTCTCTTGTGCCGTTTTAGCAAATTTCGGGGACTGCACTGCCCTCACTGCGGCGTGTCGACACTGCACTTTTAAGAGCTGTTTTAAGGGTCGTGCATTGTTGGCGTCACGACGAGCCCGTGTTGGAGTGATCTGGAATGGAAC